CCAACCCGATTTGATGTATCCGTCCCGGCCTAGTAAACAAGCTTAAGTCTTAACTTACTTTTCAAGATAGAAATCATTCATTTTTATAATATGACATAACAATATACATCATGTATATATCAATCTTGTTTAAATATATATTAGTATATAAGAGGTGTTTATACATACTTTTATATTTTTATAGTGTTATACAAAAACTATATAACATTATACAAACTTCTTCATCTCTTAAAATAATATATACTCTTTCGATTATATTTTATTTATTCCATTACAATGTACTATAATTTGTTTTTATCTGCTTGATCTCATTTCTCTTTATTTCTTCTGTTTATCTGTAACAATATTATATGCTTGGTCACATTTAATATTGTGTATCTGCATGCAATATAAAATGTGTAGTTTGTGTTCACTTGAAAAGACTCTACTTCTTGCTCTTGCCCGATTTTATAATTGTCAAAGTTGGAATATGTGTGTTGAAAAAGAAGGAAGCTGACGATTAGAACATGTCAAAGAAATATGTCCAACGAAGCTGACTGACATGTCTGCAGCAAGTGTTGATGAAGAAGGAAGCTAACGATTGAAACATGTCAAAGGAACAGGTCCAACGAAGCTGACTGACGAGTTTACAGCACTGCTGTAAAATTAGAGTCGCACTAGGATTAGACTACTTATAATAATTGTAGAGTCCTAAGTTAATTATACTTAGAGTCCTACTACAATACCTATTACTACTATAATAATAATAATGCAATTATAAATAATCTAATCCTAGTCGTAATATAATCCTAATTATAATATAATTCTAGTCGTAATATAATCCTAATTAATATAAGTAGTCTAATCCTAGTGCGACTCTAATTTTACAGCAGTGCTGTAAACTCATCAGTCAGCTTCGTTGGACCTGTTCCTTTGACATGTTTCAATCGTTAGCTTCCTTCTTCATCAACACTTGTTGCAGACATGTCAGTCAGCTTCGTTGGACATATTCCTTTGACATATTCCAATTGTCAGCTTCCTTCTTCTTCAACACTTCCCCTCAAGCTAGTGAGTAGAGGAACGATTACTCCTAGCTTGATTCGAATACGCAGAAAAAACTTTGAATACCCAGCAAAAACTTGTTTTGTCAATGCTTCGGTATGAATGTGATGTATGTTTCTCTAGAGTTGATGTTGTTGTTTCTTCTTCCCGTACCTTTTTGGGCAGAGAATCCCATGTTATGGTTTTGTTGTGACACCTTTTCTTCATCTTCCCTTATATCAAAACTCGTGAGAGTATAAACAAATTGATTAAGGGTGGAATATGGTGTCTTACCTAATATGACAAAGGTCTTGTATTTGAGACCTAAACCTTTAGCAAAATTAATTATTTTTGTTGCTTGAATATAATGTTTTTCCAAGCATTCCCACACCTCCTTGGCAGTTGAGCATCCCATAGTTAGGTACATGCTTTCTTCGGTCAAGGAGCCTGAGATCCAACTCCTTAGCAACATATCTTTCCCCTTCCAATCATCAATGATGCCACTCTCTTTTGCATCTTTCTCAACCGCTACAACTTTCCCAGCAGTCTATCCAGTGGAACAACTACTTTTACTTGGTTCATTCTCTGTGATTTGAATCAATTGGGATATGTGTGTTCTCTTTATGAGGTAGTTTGCTGGCTTAAGTTTAATGGAACAAGCGACAATGAGTTGGTGAAGTAAGGAGGTCGACATATTTTTGGTAGAAGTAGTCATTGCAACGTGTTTTTTTTTATATCAATACTCAGAGAGCGGAGGAGCTTTTATGCTCTAATACCATGTATAAATCTCACGTCTAGGATTAGAGAAATCAAGGATTGTATTGATGAAAATAATGTTGAGTTACAACCTCCTTATATAGGGAGAATTGTAGAGTACTAAGTTAACTATACTTAGAGTCCTACTACAATACCTATTACTACTATAATAATAATAATGCAATTATAAATAATCTAATCATAATCGTAATATAATTCTAATCATAATATAATTCTAGTCATAATATAATTCTAGTCATAATATAATCCTAATTAATATAAGTAGTCTAATCCTATGCGACCCTAATTCTACAGCAGTGCTGTAAACTCGTCAGTCAGCTTCATTGGACATGTTCCAATCGTCAGCTTCCTTCTTCTTCAACAATGTGGATATTGAATAGTACAATTTGACTTGAGACTCTACGATAAAGCATTTAATATTTCTTAATTAAATTTTAGTAAATCTATTTTTGTTTTCTTCCTATCGAATGTCATATTTGTTGTAAATAATTTTGAAGATTATGTCACTAGCTAACATCAACGGTGAATAACAAGTGACATCTAGGATGCCAGCTTCTCAAATTGTTAAAAAATTGACTAAATTAGATAACAAAATCATATATGGGCCAAAACTGGTAAATATGTTCTCCCATATATTATACAGTATATAATTTTTCTTTATTAAATTCAAGTACAAAGTTCATTTCATTTTGAGGCGTAAATTCATACCACGTATCAAAATAATGTGGCATTTCAGACTTTTAGTAAAGTTCAAGACCAATAAAAGGTAGTGGCGGAATCAAGATTTTCATTAATGGTATGTTTGGAAAGCTACCCTGGTAATTAGATTTGGTGTAATTGAGTGTAATTACACTGTCTGACGTGTTTGGTTGGCTAATTACTTGATCAACATGTAATTGAGCGTAGTTGGCAGGGGGTAATTACACTCTCTTATTCCTAGCGAGGGACAACAAATTGCTGGTAATTACCTGATGTAATTATAAGTTGATTACTTTTTAATTTTTTCTTTTTATTTCTATTTTTATTTTTTCATCTTAATTTATTTCTATTATTTTAAATTTTTTATTTTTATTTTTTTACCAATAAAATATTTTTTGTCTTTTTACTAAAAAAGTATTTTTTTATATTTAATTTCTTTCTCATTTTAACCTTTACTTCATGTGATTCCATGCAATTTTTCGTGTTATCTATTTTTATGCCATGTGTATTTTTTCATTAGCATAATTCTGTTAGTATTCTATTTTTTAAAATTAAAGTAGATTTCATTGTTGAGTAAGGTTATAGACTTACATTTTTCTTTTATTTTAAATTATATTTATGTATGTTATGTTGAAATTTGACATAAGAGTATTATGTTAAATTTTTTGTTTTGAATTTAAAACTTATGTTATATTTTCAGTTTCATTTGTTCTAGTAGTATTGACTTGACACTTCACATTGCAAGTCATTTATTTTTTAGTTAGACTTGATAGATTATCTTTTTTGTCAATATTTTAATAATTTGTGATATTTTATTTATAATACTAATATTTTTGTCAAACATGCATTTCATGATGTTCATAGAAATCTTGTACATTTAGTTTTTATGATTAATTCAATTGAAATATACTAATTTGAAAAGTATAAATCAATTAATTTTTCATAATATTAGTTAACAACATATATTTATTAATTAACATATTTTCAAAAGATAATATATATCTTAGATATTTAATTTAATGTCATTTATAAAGTTTCTTATTTGTCTAATATAAATTTTAAATAAGTAACTTTTATTTTTAAAATTTAATATAATCTTATGATTGCAATTGTACATCCAAACAGTACATTTGTAATTACACTGTGACAAACAAACATGTCAGTGTAATTACTAGGCAGTGTAATTTCTAGGCTGGTAATTACTACCCTACTAATTACACCAATTTCAATTACCAGGTGGCTTTCCAAACAGATTCTAAGAAGTGTCAAAATATAAAGAAGTAAATGTACAAGAAAGCTAATAAAATAAATTTTTAAAAAGGAAAAAATAGTTGCAGCCAAAAAGTACTATTATGATGCTAGCAAGGGTAGAACTCACAACCTTAAGTAAAATTTGCAACCCCTTAATCATTACACTAAATCTAATCAAATTTGATCTTTTTCGACGAAGGGGTGTCAAGCGGGTAAAGATAACTCCGACCATGATAAAAGGATTCCACGTGTTCAAATGATGCGGCAATTTTAAGTCAAACTAATGACCTATCACAAGCCGCCAAGTGTTCAAAATGAGTTGTCTTAACCAATCACGAGCAACTTGAGCATATAACATTTATGATAAATTTGACGATACACATGAACTAATCAGACTAAGAGAAGAAAGTTCGTTCACACTTAAATTGCTCACTCCTTGTAACTATCAATTAAAGATCACATAACTTTCTATGAATTCAACAAACATTGGAGAAAATATCATCATCGACTACATGGTTCTTCAAATGAGTGGTCAATGGAGTTTTTCTGGAGATCAATCTGGAATGATGAAGCGCTACTCCACATTTCAAGCAATCAAAATACATCTCTATGAGGTATAAATAATTTTATAATTTGATTAGTATATTGAACACAAATCAGACAGAAGTTGCAATAAAATTATACTTAACAAAATTGATCAAAAGTTATTTTTTATTTTAATTGCAGTTGCTTTTTAGTATTTATTTGAATTCACATATTACAAGATCTATTTTTGAGATTGACGCTCCAAACAAGAATATTTTCATACCTAGAATTCAAACCCCAACCACATGCCCTTGGTTAGAGATGAAGGGATCCCAATCATCTCACAGCCCTAGTTGATATTTGATTTGTCTTTCAGTTGGTGTGCGATATCAACACTGAAGCTCGACTAGTTTAAACTCGCGTTGTATGACCCTTTATAAGGTTGACGTTTTTAGTTAAGAAAATATATGCAGAAGCCGAACTTAAAATTTCTTGATAAAGATGGAGAAATTTTTAGGTTTAAAACCTCTCGGTATGTTTACTTGATCAAATTCATTGCACGAGACTTGTCTAGTACATCTCCCCTATATGATAAATAATAAAGATTATAGAAAACAAATTTTATACGTGAATATCAGAAAAAAATCATGTATATCAACTTTAAATTGCAAATTTAAGAGTATATTTTCCCTAAATCTAAAATAGAAGGGGAGTAGTGTAATTTTTCAGTTGTAGTTGGAGGAGCAAAGTAGAAAATAATAAAAAGCAAGCAATCCCTATTAGGCCCTCCTCGGAGAAACATTACCTTTGTCCTCTGTCGGCTCCGACTTGTCATCAAACTCTACTCTGAAACCCTAATTTATACTCCCAACATACAAACGAAGAAGAATCACATCCAATTGTTTTAAAGTCTTTCAATTGATTGCAGTTAGCCCCAAGATTTTGCAGATTTTTCAGCCATGGACGCTCAGAGAGCTTTGTTGGATGAACTGATGGGCTCAGGTATGCTTTGTTCAACCTTAATTGAAGAAATCGGTGTCCCATAGAATGAGTTATTTTTGAATCATTTGTTTAGTTTTAAGCTTAGTTATCTTTGATTTACTGTGTAGAGTAGAGTTTATATACAGAAAAGTACCAATTTTGATATGTTATTATTTTTGAATATGTAGCTCGGAATTTAACTGAAGACGAGAGGAGAGGGTTCAAGGAAGTGAAATGGGATGACAAGGAGGTCTGTGCATACTATATGGTTCGATTTTGCCCCCACGATCTGTTCGTGAATACTCGTAGTGATTTGGGTCAGTTCCGAAATCCTAATCCTGTATTTGGTTGATGAAAGAAAAAAAAAAAGCTTTTGTTGTGTTTGAAAAAAATTGTTTCTTTAATCATGGATATGGTAATCCTGATTGTTTTTTACTTGTTGTTTTATACAGGACCCTGCTCGAAAATTCATGAAGCAAAGTTGAAGGAAAGGTAAGACTGAATCTCCCTGGGGCCTGCAAAGCTTGTTCATTTTTTCGTTCAAACTGAGATATATTTCAGGCCTTCATGCATAAGATTAGTTAGTTTTCCTTGCAACACTTCTTCCCCCAACCAAATTTTAAAAAGAACATTGATATACTGTTATTTGCCAGTACGACTTCTGAGGCTTCTACCTCTACTTTTCTACGCGAAGCACGTGATGAAATGGTTATTTGTTATATTAACTTAATTGGGTCAAATAAGTTCATCAAGACACAGGAATGAAAAAAAGTTACTCGATGTATCCGATTTTATATGTTACTACCATTATTGTAAGAGTTAAATGGTCTTTTGATTGACTACTATTTTTGTGAACATTTTCAAAATATTTTTAATCCTAAAAGTTTGTGCTTTATATTTCTTTTTATGTAGTTTCTACAAATGAAAGTTTTATTTTAAATAGAATTAGAGTAATTTATGAATTCACCTTGTCGAAGAAGAAGATTGTTTAACCCTATAGTCAAATCTTCTTCTTGTTTTTAGGATGAAAAGAGTAGTTTTTATTACGAAGTGTCTAAACATGATGGATGAAGAAATAAATGTTGAAAGCTTGAACTTCACTTGGTGGGTACTCCTGGCCAGGGGCGGATCTACATGGAGCATTCTGGGTGCTCGAGCACCCATTGACTCCGACAAGAAATTTCTATATCTATAGAGAAAATATGAAAAAATGGATAGAACAAATAAATAAGCACCCATTAAACAAAGAAAAGTAGTGGCTGCTTTGGTTCTGGCTTTAATGTTAAGGCGTGTAAGTGCCTACTAGTCACGAGTTCGAATCTCTCTAGCAGCATATTTTATGCACCTTTTCTTATTTCAATTAAAAAAATTCCGTTCTTTTTCTCTCCTTTTTATTTTTTGATTTTATGCAGTGTCATTTACCTTTTTAATCTTTTCTATTTTTAAAAACTTTTGGTCTCTTTTTCTTTAGTGTAACTTGTGCTTATAAGTTATTTTTGGTGATGATAAATTAATCGTTGTTTTATCATGTACTTTTCATTGATGTGCTCAAGTTGCTATACATTAATACTTTGTGATCACTAGCAATTTTATGTTAAATAAAGTGAGCATCCACGGCCTCCAAATCCTGGATCCGCCGCTGCTCCTGGCACCTCCAAACTTTTTAAGAAGGGTTGAGGAAATGGAACAATAGTGGGTGGCTGAGTGCTGCTTATCCCTAGTCTCGTGGACACTTTTTTGTAAGAGAGAAAGGAGACTGGGGTCTTTAACCATAGAGATACCACTTGTCTTAATTTACCAAGGTTGTTTACTGCCTAGTCTTGAAATTTTCTCCTAGCTGGAACTTTTTTATTCATGAATTAAGGTATTTCTTGCCTGTTAGGCTAAAACTTCTGGGAAGGCGAAAGTTTTTTTTATTTTTAAAAAATGCTTATTTTAGAGAATCGAGGTGCTTGGACAAGCTTTGAGGGAAAAATAAGTGTGTTTGAGTAATAACAGAAGTAGTTTTCCAGGAAGCTGGAAAAAAAAGTAGCTTCTCTACAGCAGCATTTTCTGAAAGCTTGGTCAAGCATAATTTGTTGCTCTAATATTGGCGAAATAATTTTTTTCAAATTGATTAGCCAAAGAGAAACTGCAACTCTCCAAAATTACTTTTTTGAAATGTACTTGTGATTTGTGAAGTACTTTTCAAAATAAGCAGATTTTGGTAGCTTGATCTAACAGACTATTCATTCAAAAGGCATCAAGGAGATGCAAATTACGAAAGACCAAAAGCACAGAATTGTCTGCCCCTTTACTATGTGTCAATCTAATACCAAGGAACTAACGAAGTCCAAAAAATGGTCAATGTAATTAGAGGGGTAATCTTAGTCCAACAAAAAAAAGTTAAGCAAACATCTAGAATGGTCCAGAGTTGAGATTCCATCAAACGTATCTGATTCCGTTTAGTCCACAAACACCAAAAAAATAACTGCTGGTATCATCACCCAGAGTTCTTGATGATCTTGTCAACTTCCCATAGGTTCCAGGCTTCCAGCTTGTATATGGTTCTCTAAGTTGGAACTCTTGAACTACAGTTCAGCCAGATGGTTCCAAGATGCTTGGAGCTTGATACTCTTCTCTTTTCTCAGTATGGTTCACATGGCTGGTGAAATCTACTGTCAATTGGCTGTCTGCCTGAAATTCATAGAGACCAAGTTCCTTTCTTAGATGATTGATTACCAAATTCTGATGCTACATTTAATGGATATGACTGTTATATGATATTTTGATTCAAAACAAATAATGTGAAGTTATGCTCTGCTACTTCCTTTAAAAGGATTGCTAGTTCTCAGAGCTTAACTTAATGAAGCTGCAAATTATGTACAGACAAACAAGATTTCAATCTTGTGGTAATTAGCATAAGCAGGTTGAACTTCTTGTACATCTAATTTCAGATTAGTTTTTTTGTGTGGTTACTGGTAAGATCATCATACCATAAGTTTTAAATTTTCATGTTAACAACCATAATCTGTGAGTTATGTTGGAATTATGATACTCGCATTACAGTAGCCGTACTTGAGCTGGAAAGAGTGAAATGAAAGCCTCAAAGCTAGTTTTTTTTGTAGGTAAGTGAGAGCAGCAGTTAGAATTCTTTAAGTGTTGAAAAGGTTCCTCATAGAGCTTGAACTTGTTCACGCTCATCAGTTAGCATACCTGAAAAGGATAGTACAATGGAAAGGTCAAAGACCAGTGCAAACTGATATAGCATTATATGAGTCCTGTATGACTAAATGAGCAGCATCCTTTAGGTTCCAATGTTATTTCTTGTTTGAAAGAGTAGTAATTTCCTTTAGGTTCCAGTGTATTGCCAATCTTAATGACTTCCTTGTTTGTTGTTCTGTATCAAGGACAATCAGCAAATCCAGCATTTTTTATTTTATGCTACAGCTTTGGTATTGATGCAGCTGCGTGTTTTGACTGCCGGCTCATCGTGAAGCATGACCTTGACATTTTACTTGACCACAAGGCATTTTGGCAGATTTTGATCACTGGTCTCCTTTATGATGGAAGTACCAGCTTATGCCACCTATATTATCAGTTGGTACTTCATCACAATTTCATCTCTTAGGGGTCGTTTGGTGCGAGGGATAAAAATAAATAGTCTTGGGATAAAAAAATAGTCGAGGGATAAAATTTTGGTGTCTTGTTTGGTTGCCGTGTTTAGGATAACTTATCCCACCATTTATACCATAGTGATGGGATAATTTATCCCATATACATGGTGGGATAAGTTATCTCAGGATAGCTAAACCTAGGATAATTATAACTTGTTCCCAACCAAACGACCCATTAAATCATTTGCTGGTGTACTAGTCTTCCCTGTTTGTATGGAGATCTTCTAGTGCTGTAGCTTGAGTGATTTTACCTGCCTCTCCAAAAGTCGCTTTATCTCATTTTTTTGTGCATTATGATTTCTCATTTGTGCACTACTATTTCATTGTTCTGAAAGTTTTTTGTTTCTTCTTCAGTTTTGAGAAATCTCCAAGACATGATTCTCATGTTCCCAAGTTTGAAGCAGAACTAGCCCATTTTTGTGAGAAATTGGTAGGTTATTGACTGACGAGTTTCACAGTGCTGTTTCAACGTGTTCTCTGAATAAATATGCCATATAGTTAATTTGTGGTTTTTATAGGTGATGGACTTGGATAAGAAAGTGAGGCGTGGTCGAGAACGCCTTGCTCAGGAGGTTGAAGTTCCTCCACCTCCTCCAATATCAGCAGAAAAATCTGAGCAGCTATCTGTCTTGGAGGAGAAGATTAAGAACTTGCTAGAACAAGTGGAGTCTCTTGGTGAAGCTGGGAAAGTTGATGAAGCTGAAGCTCTCATGAGAAAGGTTTGGCTGAGGGGCCTACTATTCATTTTTGTCTTGAATTTTGCAATATCGTGATGGCATAGTCTTCTGACAGTATCTGAACTTCTTGATATTTATGTAGGTGGAAATGCTTAACGTTGAAAAGACTGCCTTGACTCAGCAATCCCTGCAAAACAGTGCACTAATGATTGCACCAGAGAAAAAGATGGCTCTGTGCGAGACATGTGGTTCCTTTCTTGTCGCAAATGATGCTGCAGAGAGAACTCAGTCTCACGTCACTGGTAAGCAGCATGTTGGCTATGGGATGGTTCGAGATTTCTTATCCGAGTTCAAGGTATTTCTCACCAAATTTTCCTTTTTGTTTCCTTATAAAACCACAGAATGCAACTTTATTTTTCTGCCTTTTAGTTACAAATGATATTCTATGCAATGGACTGTAAATGTTGCTTCCAGGCTGCTAAAGAGAAGGCTAGGGAAGAGGAAAGGTTAGCCAGGGAGAAAGAAGCAGAAGAAAGGAAAAAGCTGAGGGAGAAAGAACATGATAGCAGACGACGAAGAAGTGACTCATCTGACAGGGACAAGCACAAAGATCGAGATCATGACAGGGAACAGGATCGTTACCGGGGAAGAGATCGTGACCCTGACAGGTCCCTTGACAGAAATGGCAGAGGAGGGCGTGATTTTGATAGGGGATCAGGTTGGAAACATGGGACTTCCAGAAATGGGAGAAACAGAAGCAGGGAGAGATACCGGGAACGTATTAGAAGCCGGTCACGGTCTCCTATTAGACATGGTTCCAAGAGGTCCAGGAGTCCAGTTCACAAGTACTAGAGGATTATAAAACGTAGATGTCTGAACTTTGAAATTTGAAGAGGTAGACTTTTTTATAACTCACCAAATTCATGAATGTATGTGTTGGAGTCCGAAGTGCCATTGTCATCATGTGAAAATGTTTTTTTGAGACTATATCATCTCTCTATCTTCACTATAATTAGCGGTAGGTATAACTTCATTGTCGTGACTCTTTAATGATCTATTTTGGTTTAACGTTGTCAGAGGTTCTGATCCCCGCTCATCTGGGGTCACCTATTCTCATGAAGTTAAAAAAACAGATTCATTAGTTATGCATGGATAATGCTGCTAGAGGGAGATCGTTGGATGGTTATTCCTTAAGTGAGGTAACAAATTTTATTAATTCCGGATTGCGGAATGAGTTGCTGACCATGGTTGGTTTAGTTCCTTTTATCTTTTGGTCATTCAGATGATAAAACAGAATCTTTTTCATTTGGTTATTCAGATGGCTCTAGTGTTAATTGTTATTGCATATTTGGCGTGTCAATGAGCTTATGAATATATATGAAAGGCTCCATGTAGTTTGTGTATCATCCGAGCTCTAATAGGTAACCCTCTATTTTGACTTACTTACCGTCCCTCTACCCCTTGTGTATAGAGCTGTATTCATGCAGGCACCATTGTGGACATAAGGCAGCTAATGATTCTAATGTGCAATCAACAACCGATCATTCAATAGGTAATAACTAAACACATGCATATTTGTCCACTTTGGGTTAGTACCTGCAGGCTTCATTCATGTATAGGTATCTACATAAGATGGGAATCTTCAGCTCTGACTAAGTTCTAGAAATGTCTGTCGGTGAAACTATGGAAACTGTGTCTAGACTAGATAGGCTAAGGTCCGTGCTGAGCACAAACCCAGTATGAGCATCTCCTTTGGAGTCCTTCAACAAGAGTAACGGAGATCAAGCATGAAGTTCAGCCTACTTCTTTTTTTTCAAGAGTTTTGGGCTAGAAAGCTCCTTTTTTTTTTGGAGGATTTTCGAGAAGACGGAGTTGGCTTAAATCTTCCAGAGCAATCCTTTTAAAGGTTTTGGAGCGTGAGTTTGCATGATCTAAACAAATAAATTTATATATATTGATTTATTTGAATAATATTTTATTATTATTGATTTGTTTGAATATTTTTTCTCTATTGTTAATTTTAGGTAAAAGTTTATAAATTTCGATGTTGAAAAACATTCTTTTGCTAAAGCAATTATTACAAGAACTGTTAACATAATTTTATAAGCAATTGATTGACAAATTTTAGATAAAAATAATAAAGTTCCAATAATAGAATTTGATTCAATAATCAATTTTCTTTTTAAGAAAATAATCAACACATAAATTTATTCTTGATTTTTAAAAGGAAAAATTAGCTTAGCCATAACTTTAGGTGTTACATACGCAGTTTTTTATTTTTTAATACCTTGTGAAGAAATAGTCACAACATAATAAATAAAATATTTTGGCGAATTTTTTTTTGGGCAAAAGTTATTTTTATATTTAGGTTTACCCAACAATCTCAAGAGCTGGTGATTCCTCCCACACTATGTCACTGAAGAATTAACTTTACCCTTCGCGAGAATATCTAATAAACTTGTTAAAACAGAATCCTTGGAGCGTTACGTGATTTTTCAATATTTATTCATTGTTGCTTATCATAACATATTTCGTTTGGTTTTTAAAATGCTCTATTAGTTTGTTTCAAACCACCATTTGGAGTTTGAAAAATGTTTTCCAATTTTTCTGTGCTTGATTGATCAAAATTCTTGAAAAAATATTATCCTTAAAAATAAGGAAAATGACTTTCATAGTAAAAATAGAAAAACAAAATGCATGCAACAAATGTGCAAATGTTTACAATATATATGTATACAAATTTAGATTGCAAGAAAATTCAACAATCAGTACTATATACATTAGGTGTATCAACTCAAATTGCGGTACTCCCTCTGTCCCAAAACACTCAGTATTACATTCAAATTCATCCACGTATATCATAATTATTCACCATCATACTTGTCAACAACTATATTGATGATTAATTGATAGAAATTTCAATAAGCAAAAGTATATCAAGTCATGAGGTATTTAAAAATTCGAAATCAACAGAATTGTAGAATATTCAAACAATCTACAAAGATATAAACATCATTATTCAATCAATAAAAGATAGAGACAGTAAATAAATTCGAAATGGAGTTTAATTATTTGGATTGGGGTTTCGAGTTAACTTAAATTTCACCCTTAAAAAACAGTTGCTGAATGGAGTAAGTTTTTTCTTTTAGCTTACAAATTTAACCAATTGATTTAAAAGAGTGACCTAAAACAAGGCATTTGTGCAGAGGGCACCGGTTTGAATAATTTGCTGCCCCGCAGACAAAAGGAAGACTGACATTGAAGAGGCTGTTAGCTCTCTCTCTACCGTCATATATATGCTCAAAAATACAATCATAAGGACCTGCCGCCGGTGGTCCTCTCAGTTCCTGACAACGCCATTCTCCACTCTAGAATGACCAAGCATAGACTTGGACTGCACACTCGCTCGTGCTTCCATCTCTCAAGAACAAAGAGACCTTTAACTACTTCCCCTTTACCTTCGGAAGCAATATCATGTGTTCACACTTCCCCAGTTAATCACAAGACCTTGTGTTTTTCACTTGCAGACAATTTAATAGTTCGTGGGTTGTTCGATTCAGCTGAGAAAGTAATTCGGAGAATCATCAAGCATTCCTCATCAGTTTCTGAAGCTATCTCTGCTGTTGAATTTTCTATTTCTCGTGGAGTTGAGCCTGATGCAACTAGCTATGCTTTTCTCTTTCGGCAACTTGTGACATCTAGAGAAACCCTGAAGGCTGAGGCTCTCTATGTAGATTGCATTTTGAACAGAGGTATTGAGCCGAATCATTCTGTATTGAATTCCATGGCGATTTGTTATTGTAATTTGGGTAAATTGGAGGAAGCTAAGTTGCTTTTTGATAAACTTGTGGATAAGAAGTTGTTGCCTTGTAGTAGCACGTGTAATGAGCTTATTAAGGGATTTTGTGGCCAAGATAGAATCTTGGATGGATTTGATGTTTTTGTTGAAGCTATTAATTCAGAGGTATTACTGGCTTTCAGTTGTTACAATAAGTTAGTGGATGGTTTGTGCTTCCGTGGGTACTTAGATGAAGCACTCTATGTGTTTGACGAAATGTGTGATAGAGGGGTACCACCCACAGTTCATTTGTTTAAAACATTGATTCTTTCGTTGTCTAAGAGAGGCAGAGTTGAGGAAGCGCAATTGTTGAGCATGGATATGGAATCTTATGGTTTTGTTTTGGATAAAGTAATGTACACGACTCTCATCAACGGTTATTCCAAGATCCAGAAAATGAAAACGGCTATGATGTTATTTCTCAGAATGCGTAAGTTAGGCTGTGAACCGGATAAGTATACTTACAACACGCTGATCAATGGGTTTATAAACTTGGGCATGTTCGACAAGGGTTGGATGCTGAATCAGCAGATGGTTGAATTTGGATTAGAACCTGATGCGGTAAGTTACCAAATCATGATTGCCAAGTATTGCAAGGACCATAAAGTTGATTGCGCATTGACGCTATTGAATGACATTAATCAGTGCAACGTTCCTCCCAGTGTTCACTCTTATACTGCTTTGATCTCTGCACTTTATAAAGAGAATCGGTTAGCTGAAGTAGATGACTTATACAGGAAGATGTTGTACACTGGATTGGTTCCTGACCATGTTCTGTTTTTTACCTTGATCAGCAATCATCCAAGAGGGTCAGAGATTAGTCTAGCATGCACATTTTTGCGGGCTATTGCCAAGAACGGTTGTGGTATTGACCTCTCTTACATCCCTAGCCCTACCAGTCGTAAAGTTACTACAGATATCATGCTTGATATTGATCGTCTCTTGGGAGAAATTGTGGCAAGAAACTTACCTCTGGCTAGTGTTGCTTTCAATATATATATGATTGCTTTGTGTCTAGGAGGAGAACTTGATTCTGCTCAGCTTTGCATGGATAAGATGTCAAGCCTTTCTCTTCAGCCTTCACTGTCAGCTTATAATTCCATGATCAAGTGCCTTTACCAAAAGGGACTACATGAGGATGCCAAGTTCCTTGTTGAAGTTATGCAAGATCAAGGTCAAGTTCCAAATCAAGCAACATTCTTGATTATGGTAAATGAATACTGTAAACAGGGTGACATACAATCAGCATTAGAAGTTTTGGACCAAATGGAAGAGAGTGGATTGAAGCCTAGTGTTGCTATATATGACTCCGTCATTGGGTGTTTGGGTAGAGAAAAGAGAATAGACGAGGCCCTTGGAGTTTTCCGGAGAATGCTCGAGGCTGGAATTTATCCTGATAAAATTTTGTTTGTGACAATGATTAATGCTCTATCAAGAAATGGGCAAGCTATTCAGGCCCATGAGCTCTTCATTACAATGTTGGAAGATGGAGTTCAACCAAGCCACTATGCTTATACTGCTCTTATAAATGGGTTGGTTAAGAAAAACATGATAGAAAAGGGCTGTGTATACCTCAAGCAAATGATAGAAGAGGGTTTCATGCCAAATACTGTTCTTTATACTTCTCTTATAAAACAATTCTTAAGGAAGAGACAGTTTGAATTCGCACTTAAGTTGGTTGATTTGATGGAAAGAAGTGAGATTGAGCGAGACTTGGTAACTTATATTACTTTGGTCAGTGGCGTTTCTAGAAATATTAGGTCAGTCGATGGGAAAGGGCTTGTTCCACAGAGACGGTATGAAGAATCTAAGGAAATGTTGTTCCGCCTACTTCATCAGAGTGCTATGTTGCCTAAGGAAAAATGTTTGAAAATCTCAGTTAGCTCTCAGGAACAAATAAAATTTCTTGCACTTCGGCTGATAAATAAAGTGAAGGCCACTCCCCTAATGCCAAATTTGTACTTATATAATGGCATAATTTCTGGGTTTTGTTGGGCAGAGAGTATGGAAGATGCATACAAGCACCTTCATACGATGCAAAATGAAGGCATCCAACCAAATCAAGTTACTTTTACTATTCTAATTGATGGGCATTTCCGAAGTGGTGAAATTAATTGTGCTGTTAGTCTTTTCAACAGAATGAATGCACAGGGTTGTCCTCCAGATAACATCGTCTACAACACTTTAATTAGAGGTCTATGCAGGCACGGAAGGCTCGTGGATGCTCTATCACTCTCATACACTATGCTCAAAAAAGGATTGGCCCCTTCTAAGGCATCATATGAAAGTCTTCTCAGTTCTCTTTGTGCTAGTAATTGGAGAGTTCATGCACTGAAGATATGTCACGATATGCTTGCCAATAAATATGTCCCTTGTGGCCATAATCTTAAATTGTTGATTTGTATACTGGGTGAAGAAAATAAGTGGCACGAAGCTCGTTTTATGTATGATTTGCTTCTTAAGAAAGAAAATTTATGATGAACACAAGCTTAGAGGCTGGGTATGATCTCTCTGATATTGTTGGGCTTCCTTCCCTTGTCCGTGTGTATCAACAGAATATGGACTTTTGTATGGAGCTGCACATTGTAGCTTGTGTCCACTCAGAATTCCATTTGTTATTTGTTGTAAGCCACCGGCTCTCTGTATTTCTTAACTCTATTTTTTTGCGTACAGTTCTAGTTAGTATATTATTCTCTGATGACCTATTGACCTGGAGATTCTCAGGTGTACATAATCCTATTTGTTATTCCTTTTTCAGGAATATGATAAGCGGCTCCTATGTACTGGTCGTGTCTAATTTTTGAGGTGATTGTATGCTATGCGCAGTTGACAACCTTTAGGTAATCCTGGATATGTGTGTTCTCCTAATTATTCATGTTTAGATTTTTGGATAAACTACATAGGTACCCAAATAGGTTAACACAAGTTAGTGGATCAATTCTGCCATTGGGAAGAAGACTAGATACTGAACAAAATGTAAATCTTATAGAGGGTATATTGAATGCTTAATTAATTTGATTTGTTTTTCTTTTTGAAAAGAGGAGTCTCCTTATCTTATTTTCATCATTTTCAGTTGTCACGTTTATTTTTTTCCTGATCCTGAATTGCAGCAGAGCTCTACGAGTTCAGAGGCAACAGAAAAAGAAGTGTCAATCTCAGATGAAAGAGTTGGCATCCATTTGTCAGTAAATAAAGAATCCTCTGGATGGTATGTGCTTTACAAACTCATTGTTGGAGGCCTCATATTTGACAGAAAGCCAGAAGCAGTATCTAGAGACAAGTGCTGCTTGTGGGAGGCAGATGTCTAAGATCACTTGAATGTTGCTGTGGAAAACATTGAGGATGGTTCGCTGACCATTGAGAAAGAAGAATTTTTCTTGGGAGTGTAATAGAATGCTGTTGTTGGCCAAGGTGATGTTATTGCTCACTGAATGTATTATCCGGAATATTTCAGAGGAAATTAAGCCATTAATAGTCTATGGCAACCAAGTGAAAATCAACAGGTCCTGTCAGACTTGTTGCTGGACATCTTACTGTATGCACCATCACCTGACAGTGAATATCCAACTTCGATAAAGTATAAGCAAATATTTGAAGAAATAACTGTGTGGACTACTGAATTCTGGTACATTCTGTAATTTTCTCTTCCTTTTTTTTGTTTAATTTAATTGCTCCGCTGGCAGATGAGTTATTAGTTATATTAACATGTTAGTTTCACGTGTGGTCACTAAACTTTTAACCCCTGTATTTGTATAGTTATAAACTGTTTTTTAATGTTATGGTGGAACGGCAATAATTTTTGTCATGGACAAGTTAAAAATCGCTCCAGATTGAAAAACCTAGTCTTCTTCCCACACCTACGCATTTTTTTTATTTTTTTTTCTTATTTCATTTTTTATTTTCATTTTTATTTTATTGGATTTTATTATTTTCTTAACGATTCCGTTTGTTGGATTGGAAAATAAGGTCAAATGTGTGTTAGTATATAGCATCAAGAGCGTGATTGACTCCAACTATTAACAGAGTGTATTGTCAATTTTTTGTTGAATGGCTCTCAAATTGAGAGCCTTGCCATTAAATAGAGAGTAGACAAATTACATCCCTAAAGATCCGTTATTCCTATCCCTAAATATCAGCTATTTTATCCCTCTAAATCTGCTTTTATTATCCCTCCAAATCTGCTATTCTATCACAATATTTATTCTCTTTGATTACTACAACAAATCTCTATGATTACACTTATATACAACACTATATAGTTACGTTAATAATACTATTTATCCACTATTAATTCATGATCTATGAGCTGTCCATCATGCTAACACACATATCTAGACCATTTCGCGGAGTTTAGGGGCATTTGACCCTCTACCCTAGTTTGAAAATATATGGTTATGACAAGCTGGAATTTTTATAGCTGGCTCAAGATTACATATAGACATTAAGGTACATAATGATTTGGAAAGATACATAATGATCCAAAAACCTTGGACTTGTGTCACTTATTTGTCTTGGTTTTCACATTGATAAACAAACTTGTTTGTTGTATGTCAATTTGTCTTTGACCTTCCTTTTTCTTTTTGAGGTGGTGTGCAGAGAATAATCACATTATCTTCTCAGATGCCCACCAGCTGATTAGGCTAAATTCATGAAAATACAAGGTAACTCAATGCCTATCATCTGCGTCAAGTTTTTTATTTTTTTGATGTACTTGTTTCCAAATTTCCTTGTCACTGAATTGCATTTCCTTTTTTATTACTGAGACAAGTGTTTCATCTCTTAGACAAACAGTTCATATAGCAGTGAACTGATCCGAACAAATGCGTTCTGTTGATAGTATTCAGAGGCTTCTATAGAGCTGTGCAAAGAGATGAATCTGAAGGTTGTTGATCTTTGGACTACAATTCAGAAAAGAGAAGATGGTTGGTTGCTTGCTTTACATAAGTTCAGTTAACCGTGAGTTGCATGTTTGTATCTCTACCAGATTGAGAACATTTGCAATCATCTTATCTGTATCATTTCTTTATTATTGAGCCATGTCATATTTATAGGATACTTCTAGCTCAGTGTTAGTTCGTTTTACACCTTTTTGCTTGTTCTTGTATTATCTTGATGCAACGGTTAATGCTGAATTTGGCCCCTTGTTTTCTATCATTTATCTTTGAAGCTTTCAATGAGCAAAATGATATGTTGTGGATTTTTCTGTTTTAAGGGCAGCCATGCTTTTTTGGGTTTAGATGCTATTGCTTCTCTTTTTCTGATGTGTGATCTTCAGCTGTCAAGTAGTGCTGCTTTTGATTTTATTTTTATGCTGTTGCTGCTCCTTTTTGGGTATGGTTGCTTATGGCTGTAATTACTTCTCTCGGTGGGACTTCTTTTGTTGCTTTTATGGTTGATTACAGAATTGCTGATGGTTACCAGAAGATGAAGTGAAATGCTACTACTGCTGTCATATGAAGTGAAACTTCCTATTTTGGTGTTTGATTCTTTTGTGAAGAAATCTTTGTTAGTGTAAAAACGTATTTAAGCTAAATTTATGTTTCTAATTGGTGTATTAATGTGCATCTATAGCATAAAAAGTTTCTTTAAGCTTACATTTGGTTGATTGGTGTAATTATTCCAAAGTATTTTGTATCAGTAAAAATATTCCAATATTTTGAATCTATAGTGTACTCCCTCTGTCCCAATTTATATCAATTTATATGACTGACTTTCCTTTTTAGTCGATTCCAAAAAGAATAACACATTTATATATTTAGTAACAATTTAACTTTAAAATGCCTATTTTATCCTTGATGGAAATGATTTATAGCTAACTACACAAACATCTATGACTTATTTTAGACTACAGGCTTCAAAAGTCTTTTTCTTACTTAAACTCCTTGCCAAACCAAACAACATCACATAAATTGGGACTCCCTTTTTGTTAGAGTTTCATATTAATAAGGAGAAATGTGTTTTCAAACTCTATATCAACCAGGATGATCAAATGTCTAAATGGGCAATTAGCGAAGAGAAATTTTACCCTTAAATGTGTGGTCATTGAAAGTTCACACAATTAGTTTAAGGAAACAGCCATCAAAAAGTTTATAATGACTGGATAACATTAACATTTACTGAAGCAAAAGCAGGGCTTTTTGCGACCGGTGACAATTACATTTTTTCAGTCTTAATTGATTGATATCGATCAGATCTGGACTTCACGTGACTGAATGTCCGTTCGTTAAAAGTTTTTTTTCTTGTAGTTTTATATGTTGTAACAATGAAAGAAAGCTGCTTCCTTTTTTAATGGTCCCTGTATTTATCTTACTCGTGGTAATGTGATGTGGTTGACTTTTTGGCATTAAACAGGTCATGGAGCGGGAGAAAGTGCACTTCATGAACAAGCTGTTACCTTGTAATAGAATTTTATTTGTTTTTCTTCATCTTCCAATCAGTTTGCTGCGAACGTATCCACAGACCACAGAAACACCTCTACATTGATGCTAATGTTTTAAAGAGTGAGTTAGAGCCTAGAGGAAGGTGCAAGTTGTGGTATTTATGGCCTCTGAAAGTGCTATAGATAAGACACGTGCCACCAATGCCATTCCCGTTTGGCACAATCCGAGCGCTGTAGTTGAACACAGCAGCTGAAAGGAAAATCTCAGCAGGTGGCATTCCCAAAACGTGAGTAGCAGGTTTATTTTCCTCATCAAAATGGATCCAGTTTCTGAAACTGTAATGATTTTGAATGACCTATTATTGCATCCCAGGTCCTAGTAGCTGTGGTGGACTGTGCTGAAAATGTATGATTTAGCTGGACTTTATGTCGCTCCTTTACTTTGGAACGAAGGAAATAGAACCTTCTTTGGGAGAGAAAATAATCTTGTGTAGATGAAAGTCTGGTGTCTGTTCCTAGTCAATTTGGTGCACCAATTAGGTTCCTGCTAACATAGGCAACATTTGAGACCAATGAGTTCTCTACTTTTTGTAAACCAGTTGTATACTAAACTGGATATTGAATCCCTCAACATCAATAAACAACCTTTTGTGGCGTTGAGGTTTGCTTTCTCCAAATAACTTAGTTTATAAATTTTTAGAGCATGATTTGCAGTTTGAGGTATGCATAATCCCATTAAGTTATTTTTTTTACCTCTGAGAAAGATTAATGTTGTTTGCTTCCCTCTGGCTTTCCTTGATTAGTCTCTTGCTGAAATGGGTTTTAAAGAAAACCTTTTGATGGTGATACTATCAAATTATTCTTTCCGTGTTATGTAGTCTTAATCTGGAAACCGAGCTTAAGCACACCAGATTTTCCTCCTCATCTAATTAATTTATGTTAGATTTTCATGATAAGTGGTATCTATGATGTGATATTTTCTGCAGTGTGTTTCTCATTTATATAAAAGACTTCTTGGTTGTGGTCCATGCCTGTTAGTTCACTACCAGCACCCTCTTCTTGTCAAGGGAGTTTCCTAATTACTGCATTCATGTTTCACATCAATGAATGCATCATTGTCATAAATAGGTTCCTGAGAAATCTTCCCAAAAATTGCAAAATTGTTGTGGTTTTTTTTGTCTGACTATCTTAAGTCCTAAAGTTGAAGAACACAATGGCTCGATTTCTTTCCTCCGCCTTTTATTGCAGGAAAAGGACATTACTTTCGTGAAGGCCTAAAAACTATGATTAAAGGATGCTTTCTCACATGGGGAATACGAGGTAAACTCATTGCTGCTTTTATGTTCTTTTATTTGTAAAAATAAGCTTAGATAAAATGCAATTTTTCCTTGTGCCAAGTATAAAATCAAATTTGTTCGTCTTGTTTGCTTGTGAACAGGTCTAGATTTTGATCTAAAACTCACTTTTGAGAGAATATGTATGTACTTGCTGTTCTATTAACTTTTGCATATGGAAGGATAATGAGATTAATATTTGTATCATAAATTTCACACGCTTAGTCTTTTATTTTGGCATTAACTATATAATAACGTTTGGAGGACGGAGAAGGTTCTTCTGGGATTTACTAAATTTTGAGTGACCAAATTCTCATTTATCACTTTATGTTCTTCCCAGCAGTTCATTGGTTGCTTTGCGGTACCACTCATCTGTTCCTTCGCTTCCCCCAACATTCTCTTGTCTTTCTTCTACTCTCTTTTTTGTTATTCTGCTTTCTCTCTTCTAATAATTGCCGTATCTGTTGGGTTTCTTTTCTTGTCTTTACCTTATCTGTCTTTTTAAGATGAGCTCTTGTTTCTCTGCCTCTCTGGTTGTCTATTTTGTAATCCTTTTTATATCAATGTATCTGTGACTAATTTTGTAATGTATAAAATTCGATTGTATTTTTTCTCTAAGCTACTGGAATACAAATGTTAGCTCAAGTTTTACAAACCTTGGTTTTCTTTCTGAAATTGGATATCTCTGCTTTCCTCATGTTCCCTGTATCTTCTTCCTGAGATTTTTCCTTTTTTCTTTGTTTTACTACCCTTCTCTGGATCATGCATGTTCTGATTTATCCAAAACCCTTGTTTCTCTGGACCATGCATGTTCTGATTTGTCCAAAACTCTTGTAGCCAATAGCTTGGCCTTGTCCTTTAGTCGGAGCGCAGATTCTATCTTTGTTTCCACTTGCTACAGGAGCTGTTCATCTAAACTCTCCGGTGAAAGGAATGTAGGAATCTCATGAAGAGAGATGTGTGTCATTTGTGTTAAGAAAGAGAAATCATTGGGAAGGGTTGAGTAATTCATCCCTTCGACTGAAGATATCAATAGAATTTTGCAATTCATGGAAGATTAATTACTATGAAAAAATAAGAATGTGTTCTAGTAGTACTTTAATTACTTCATTAAGCAGAAGAAACAAGGGAAACACTTGTAAGATAATAGATTCTGATATGACTTTCTTAAATTTTAGCCTTTTATGAATTATAATAAAGTGCAGAGGTGAATTATTTTACATAGTAGTGATCTAATGTTCTTTGGTATATAAGATAGCAAAAAAAAACTTTGAGGGATGTATTTTATTATGTCATCAATGTCTTGAGCAGTGACATTGCAGAAGAGTCATAACATAAAGTAGACAAAGGCAAACAAAGTCATTATGTCCTTTGTTATGTCTAGCAACCTTTTAAATATTTGTTTATTTCCCCGTTTCAAAATTTTGACCAAGCTGTTGTGCATCTTCTTTCACTTGAGTGCAAGTTTACCATTGATTCCCATGGAATGTTTATGGTGTTTCAGGTTGTCATTATAAAAAAACCAAAGTCGTTTGGTTGGGAACAAGTTATCCCAGGATAACTTGTCCCACTATGTAAATGGGATAACTTATCCCATCACTAGGATATAAATGGTGGGATAAGTTATCCCAAACATGACAATCAAACAAGACGCCAAATTTTTATCTCAGGACTATTTTTTATTCCAGGACTATTTATTCTTATCCCTTACCCCAAACGACCCTTTAGTGTTGAGCATGATGCGCTCTTTGGGTCGCATTATCGCCTGATTGATTAGACGAAGTCTGCGGTCAGGGACTTGTTACGTTGCTCAGCTCAATCAGTAATATGAGATGTGGTCTGTAAAACATCTCATTTGCTTCTCTTTATTAGCCGTTGAATGACTTATTGACTATTCTTCACCAACTATTAAGAACTGCCTTTCCTTTCGAACTGAACTATCATGACTTTCGCTAACTGATAAATCGAAAATTGATAACAAATATCTTATTAATTTGGTTATCGATTTAGCATATTTAAAAATCAAAAACTAATACATCAAAACAATAAAACTTAAAATCGAATTGAACCAAGCGATACACAATGTCTTAAGCTTAACATATGATTCCTACACTTGGCTCATAATGTTATAAACTCCACTGGCTTTTTATGAGAAAACCTGTTGGTGAGTGTTATTTCCTAATCATATTAAGAAAGAGAAATGCATAATTCTTGGCTTTAAATGCCAATTTTTGGTCTGTTGACTCTTAGAAATTATTAATTAGCTTACATTATGAATTTATGATTACTAAAATTAAAAATTTCTGAAGAGTGGCACAGCTGGAGAAGGGTACCTATGGGCTATGTCAATCAATTATAATTCTTTTTAAAATATTGTACAATATTTTATTAAATAATATAATATGAATCATATAATATTTTTAATAAAAAAAATTCGTAAAAGTGACGATGAATCGTAATCCTATTTAATTAGCTCAATAAAGATTATTATGTGGCAAATAATACTTCATAAAATGTTATACATGAATATTTAATTATTTAAAAAGGCATTTTTGTCTTTCGAATAGTTTGATCCATGCAATATCTAATGGGTTAAAATTACTTTTATCCTTCAATTTTACTTTGAAAATCGAACTCTTCTCCTTCATCTTCCTCTCAAATTTGAATAATTGATTTTTTCCTTCCCTTTTTCTAATTGACTTTTCTAAAGACTTATTTTACTCACAGGGTGTGTTTGGTTTCTCCAATTTTCTCATGTTTGGTTGGGTTAAATGTTTTGGAAAATGTTTTTCAAATCAACTCATTTTCCTCAAATTTAAGGAAAATGACTTCCCTTCAAAACTTAAGGAAAACATTTTCCAAAACTCTCTTCCAACTTCCAATTAAAAAAAAAATTGTTGAAAAAATCAATTTATTTGGTCCCTACCCTCAAACCAGCCCCCCAACCACCCCTCCAATAAAAAATAAAAAATTAAAGTTTGTTTTTAAATTCAATATATTTACCTTTAAAAGATATTTCTAATTTCAATTTTTTATTTTTTAAAATCAAGATTTTTTTTAATCTATTTTTTTTAAAAAGAATATAAATATTATTTTCAAGACTAAAATAAAAATTATTGATAGAATATCTGAGATAACTTCTATAATTAAAATATGAGCAATAAAAAAATACTGGAAATGCTCATAAATATTCTTGTTTTTTATCTTTTGGTCTAAAAATACTCACAATTTATTTTTTTTGGTTCAAGAATTGCTCAAATCTGTTGAACATAGCTCAAAAATATCCCTTCTTCCATTTTTTGATTTCAAAAGTACACCCAAACTTTATTTTTGGTTCAAATCTATTGAATATAGCTCAAAAATATCCCTTCTTCCATCTTTTGATTTAAAAGTACCCCCAAACATTATTTTTGGTTCAAGAATATTTCTCCTTCCACCATTTAGTCTTAAAATACCTTAAAATTAAGAAACATTTATGATACCTTTATGATAATCTACCCCCAACACCCAGACAATCAAATTGAAATTAATTCTTTCCATACTCAAATAAAATGACCCTGTAATGCAATATTATAATGGAGTCATGGAAAAGAAAAATGAATTGTTGAAAATTATGGGGAAAATGCATAAGTACCCCCAATTTATGTCCGAAATTCCAGAGACACACTTATACTATATTAAGGTCCTATTACTCCCGAACTTATTTTATAAATAATTTGTATCCTTTTCGTACCTACGTGGCACTATCAATGAAAAAATTGTCAACACGCGCAGGACCCAGAAGATAGTGCCACGTAGGCCGAAAAGGGTAGAAAATTATTTATAAAATAAGTTCGGGGGTAATAGAACTTTAGTATAGTATAAGTGTGTCTCTGAGATTTCGGGCATAGGTTGGGGGTACTTATGCATTTTCCCAAAATTATGTGATAGTTCATATTTGTATTTTCAAATCCGGACTACTCCCTTCTTTTCTATATGTTGTATTTTTCTTATAGGATTACAAAACAAATTGAAATTTTACTTTTATAAAACTTCTTTCACGAAAAACGTTCACTTCTCTCTTCCTAACAAAAATAATAATAACTAATAACAATAGTTCATTTTTTAGAAAATATTAATCAATTTTATAAAAAATATTAATGTCAAATAAAAGAAAGATTTATATAAAATAAGTTTTTGATTTATTTTAAAGTCATAAATATTTAAACTTCATAGTTCAAATAAGGAAATACTTAATAATCTAAATTTTAGTTGATTTTGAATTCTTAAGAATAACTGAATTACAATTTTATGTGATGTGTATTCTATTTTTAAAGAGTAAAAATTGCATCACGCTAGGCTCAATCTTAAATCTCTTTAGGGTTATGTTGTTGAAAGGGGTAAAGGAAACAACACATACAAGCTGAGAATGTATCAAATAAGAAGATAGTTGGAATCTCATTTGGGTAAGCTTTGAATGATAAAATTACAAAAATATGAATAATATAAAGATGATTGATTTGGTGATTATTGATACAAAGATAAATGGGATGGCGATAAATGATGTGAAAGTCGAGGACTATGGACTACTTGTTTCTTTTGAAGCTTATTCTAACTTACAAGATTTATGACACCAATATAATTAATTAGACTTAAACTTTTGTCTAATGCTATTTTTATCAACATATCACTTATTGCTATGATAGTATTGAATGATTATGATACACATGATTTATAAAGTGTAAATTTCATATATGACATATATTATAGTACTATTTTCAAGCTATAACAGTAGATTTAGACTTTCAAGCTATAGCATTAAAAATTTCAGGTTATAACAAGTTAAAAAAAATAAAATGTTTTTATTAATTGGAAAAAACTTAAAAAATAAATAAAAAGATAAACAAAATTTATAAAAAAAACGGAATTAGAAATAATAAAGTAAAAAACTGAAATTGTGGGCTGTAATTTAATTTGAATTTATTATAGATAATTAACAAATAGCATGAATTAAGGGATTTAAACTAATTAAGATTATTTAGTATCCTTAATTCACTCAAATCAGT